AGGCTACTAGTACTCCTTTTGGGCTATTACAGTTATTGGGATATTCTATGATGCCGTAGCGGAAATTTCTGTTTTCGGCTATGGATCCAGGAAGTAAAATTTCTGTTCTTGCCGGTATTGTGATATTGTCTTGTGCTATGATTTTATGGACAGATTTAACTTCATCATTGACTCCAAATAACGCTATGTCCTCAGATGTAGAATGCAATTCGTTATTTTTAAAGTCCAAGGAAAAATTGTATTTCCTTAGAAAGTCCAATCCGAGTATGCAAGAATCAGTGATCTCTGCTACATATGCCGTGTGATGGTAAGCGGCACTTCCAAACGTGATGTTAGCATTTACTTTTCCATCAATGTTGATCTTCTCACCGGACACAGTCTGTAGGGTAACGCAGGGCGGCGTCCAGATAAGTTTGCTTCCCAGTTGTTGAGCCAAATCTTTTCGGATGATGGTAACGTTGGCTCCTGTATCTATCGTCATATTGCAGGGAACTCCATTAATATGTCCTATTATGAAAAGTCCATTACTGCCGCCTCTCACTGCAGAAATTTTAAGCGCTTTAAACTGGGGCTTTTCATGATCTGGCAACCTCCGCCCCGCGAGATGGCCACTAATTAGTTTCCCTGCTGTTTGTTAGGAGCGGTCTTAGCATTCGTGCCCTGGGGTGTTCTGCAGTTTCGTTCGGATGTGTCCTTCAGCACCGCAGTTCCAGCACTTTACGGTCGGTTTCTTGTCACCAATATTCTGTCTCAAGGCGTTCAGTTGTCTAGTTAAATCGTCTAGACGAGCAGTGACTTGATCCCCTGGCTCCTGGACTTGAGCAGCTCTGACTGGATGGCGGTCTCGACGGGTGGGCTTGCTGGGCTGCCTCAAATTTTCATGGCATACACTAAAGCGCTTTTCAGATCTTTAACATCCGCCATTCGCAGTGCTTTCTGTATTTCAGGATTGGATCCCGGATGCCATCCGATGAAATATTGCAGGGACAGGATTTCTCCCTTGTTTCTGTCGGGCACTCTGAAAAGGCGTGATGTGACAGCCTTTCAACATCCGTGGCGAGCTCCTGAAGCGTTTCGGTGAGCTTCTGTTGACGAGATTTTAATTGGAGCCTGCTGTAGTCTTTTAAACATTTCTCGCCGAAGCGCAGCTCCAAAGCGCCGGATAGAGCTTCGAAATCTAGCCTTTGATTTTCGGCAAGCGTCTGCTCTCAGAGAAGCGGCGAGATGACAGGCCTTAGCTTGGGAATCCCACCCATTCGCATCCGCAACGATAGAAAATTGTGTCCTATACACCTGCCAGGAGGTCTTCCCATCATATGTAGATAGTTTCAGAACGGAACGAGCAGGCATCGATAAAAATTTGAAACCTTCAGAATTGTTTCCTACCGTCGCTATGCACTTCTTTAGGCTGTCAACTTCTTTGGCGACGGCAGCAGAAACCCTATCATCAATTTGTTGTTCGACGGCAGAAACTCTCTCTTCTATATGTCCAACTTTAGTTTCACCACCGCGTTTATATTCTGCCTTCCATAGCCTCAAATTTATTTTCTATTACGCAGGTAATTTCTCTTTTCATTTCGTCCTGACCTGCTTTCATCTCATTTTTAAGAGATTTCATCCTCTTCCTTAACGGATTCCTGGCCCAATTCATTTCTTTTCTCCTTTGAGGGATTCCTGGCCCAATTTCATTTCTTCTTTAAAAGATGTTTGGCCAGCTTCCATCTTTTCTTGGAAAGCAGCAAAGCAGTAATGAGCTGTCTCAATTGTTCTTCCATCCCTCTTGTTATTGGCATTCAAATCCCACTTCTGACACCAAAAATTGTTTGCGTGCGTACGGGTTCGTTATGAAATGAATGCACAAGTCCGATGAAAAATGAACAAAAATTTATTATTATCACAACAGAAATGCTTAAATTTTCTCAAATTATCATGCAGTATTACAATATCTCACAGTAGTTATCTTTTTAACTACTCAAATGTCCAATAGAACGTAATTCAAAACAGCTAAAAAACGCTAATCCGCGAATTCGCTACAATCAACAACGGCAGTTTTTCTAAACAACAACAAACTAAGCAACTCTACTACAAACTGAGATGTTTTCCTCCTTTATAAGATTTTAAAATCACGCGCTAGAATTTTCCAGTACTTTTCTCTCGAAATCAAAAAGAGATATTTATTTATTTAATGCATGCGCTCTTGTATTTTCAATTTTTCCGCTTAGCTTTCTTTTAATATTCGTCACGCGCTGCACTGTGCGAGAAATAAAACCATTTGATTTATAATTGAACTGTCATTAGCTTTTTAAATACCAAATTCGTAACAATATTTATATTACTGTATCGATTCCCGTCTTTCTTTGTGTTCCAAAAAAATTCACACAAAAACTTCCAGCACTGTATCTTTCCACCTTTCTTTCTGTTCCGCACAAAATTCATATAAGGCAACATCCAAGAGATCCAACATCTTAGAAGATTAGGTTTCACAATACATATATCTTGGAAGTGGAAATGAGCAGGCTTCTTAATTGAAAATGGGTAGGGCAGATTGTTGAAAAAATTCACTCTCTTTCCAACTTTTCCAAATGTTACTTATTTTTTAAACTCACTCACTTCAATCCATATTCATGAAACTTGTGTCAAAATTAGCAAGCTGTTAAATAAAAGCTTTCTGCCCAAAAAATAGGGTGAAGATAATTAGAAAAATTGAAAATGGATATAGCAAAACTGACAACTCCCAATAATGCAGTTTACTAAAACCATAGTCAGTATTACATGGATTAAATTCTACTCATACAAAACATAAAAAATTATACCCGAGAGAAAAATATAAAAGGTCAAGCATAAAGATGCTGAAGAAACATCCATGTGGTTTATAATCCACAGAAGCTGCTGCTATTTGTCAGAATATGAAAGCAAGACCAATGAATTTGCCAAACAATTTGGAAATAATGCATTTTATGCTCAAATGACAGGGCAATCAAGTTTAGGATATGGAACATTTTCTTGAGGAAATTATTAATGTATTAGAAAATCTTTCAACATATGATGTCAAGACATAGAGAAAAATGTTTGGGATAATGTTTCGTATCAGTACAGATGAAGCTGGTCTATTTTACATGACACTAAATCAAATTATAAAATTTAAAGGGAAAATGTGTAACAGAAAATTATCAAAATTACAAATAAGACCATGTGTTTGCAACCAGGACTGAAAACTATCACAGCCTAATTTCGAAAAGCTAACCATATGGTACTAATGATGACAAAACTGTGTAAGAGCTATAAATGTGGGATGATGAGGTTTAGCCAAAAAAAAATTAAATTCTCGTTTTGGTGACCACAGTAGTAAAAATATCAGAAATTTATAACTGATTGCTTTCCTAATCCTGAATTTAATATCTAAACACAGCTTGTGGATCATGAAGTGATCACCATCTTGAAATATGATTATAGAAAATAATTCATTATCTTCTTCAGGCAATGTGGTAGAAGATAAAAATATCTTGGCAATCTGTTCTACATTTAACCTCTTAAAACTGTTTTGAGTGTGCTGGTTTAGTAAAACATGCTGATGATGAAAATAATTAAACTATCTATTGCTAAGTGTCTAGGAGAGAATACATTTTAATATTTAAAAGATACTGTTTAATGCAGATATCTAAATGATCCCCATCCAGACATCTGTGACAGAAATTAAAATGAAAAATACTGACAATGAAAATTTTTTACTGATATTGATGAAGAAAAAAAAAAAAAGAAATGCAACATATAGATAGCTATCACTATATGAATGTCAAAGCAACAGCATATGTGTTGCTTATATAAACTAAATAATCAATGAGGCTTGCATCGGTGAGGAGTTGCTCAGAGGAATGAACTAGCCTTTCTGTTTGATCCTGTATTCCTCCTGTGATGTTACGTTTGTCACTGTTGTCAACAATCTCCCAACTGCCATGCATTATTATCTGCGAAGGTTGGCACATTGAAGGCTTGTAATTCCAATAAAAGTTTTTTCCTCCACCTCTCTTGTGCTATTATGGATCCTTTAGCAAACGTTTTACATCAGCAGTTTTCATCATGCGCATATAATTTCAACACAATGTACGATTTTTCAATGGGAAGGAAAAAAGATCAATTTGGGAAGGAAAAAAGTGGGTTCTGCCATTAGAAAATTTCCAAATTTTTTCAGTGTAACTGTAAAAGTGAAAGCTCTAGTGTTTTAAAACATCACAATCTCGAGCACTTACTTTCAAATAACAAAATCTGAAATTTCATTTTGACTGGCTGAGCAGATAAGCCGCTAAGGGAATATGGAGAAAATTTTTTATGATCACCCTGCATGTTTTCCAAACCATGGATAGTTAAATTTTACAACTTTTAGGGAGAAAAAAATTCTCTCGGAAGTCATGAGACTTCAAATCTACAAAAATACATATACAAAGTAATCCAGCATAAACAGTTACAAAACAAAGCCATTAAATGTTAATAAGCATTAATAAAATAAGCATTAAGCTTTAATGCACAAGCAAAGCTATTATGGATAAAAGAAAATAAGTGTTTTGATGAAAACAAAATCTGCACAAACAGCTCATGCAAAATATCATACACAATAACAAATTTACTCTTAAAATTTAAAGAAACACACATACAAACATATATATAAAGCATAAAACATGTAACACAATTTAAAGATAAATACATAAATTTAGAAATAAATGAATAAACACAGCATATATGTATCCCTGGTAAATATTAATAGCAAATATTATTAACATGTTAAGGCAAAGACATATTAATTGGTTAAAAAGATTGAAAATTTTTAGGGTTGTATATCTACAATTTTTTTAATATATAGCACAATTTTATGTCAGGGTTCAGTACAATTAAATTTTGTTAAAATTCATGCATACATAAAACTACAAGAATATGGTCACTGATAAAGCAAAGCAAGTCAGTATGTCACTAGCATTTGTACTGATATTGTCTCGGAGAAGACCTACCTTGAAATTCATCATCCCATTCTAGAGTCGTGATAAAATAACGTTTCCAGCGGAATTGGAATAAGAATAGGAAAGTTATAGATTTCTCCACAAATCAACGTATACAAAATTAAATTTAACAGTTTATAATATTTTATAAAACACAACACATTTTTTTAAATACAACCAGCTTTAGATTAAAATTTCCAAAAAATATGTGCTTACAAGAAAAGCCCATTTAAGAGCTAACTGAAATAGTACTGATTGCATCAATTAAAATTTTGGAAAATGTAAGAAATATATTTTTACTAATAAAAACTGTAAATCATTTTATTTTAAGCCAAAACACATAAAAGACAATGATCACATTTGGAAATAAAACTTGAAAAGTGTATTTTCCTTTTCTTTTTGAAAAAATTCAGTTTATAGTAAGTGAATTCTGTGAATTTGAAATGAGCCAACAGAATTATAAAATAGCCATATCAGTTGTGAATAAGAACTCAGAATAATGTTTGAAAATATATATTCCAGGAAAATACTTATGCTACAGTATTAGCATACATTCTAGATTCTTGTGTGCTCATCATTACATTATTATAATACTTAACTAAAACTACAATTATAAAATCAAAACTAAAAGAATTTCTAATTGAAAATGTATAAAAATATTATGATGATATGTTTAAGAATTTTCATAAAAGAATAACAGAAAAAGAATTATAAACAGAAGACACCAATAGTAAACTAAGAAAATAAAATTTATACCATTTGCAAGTAATCACCGTAATGTCTAAAAACTGAATTTTTAAATTATGCTAGCACTCTTTTATAAGTTTAAAAGAAATATATTTTCATAAACCATAATTACACAACCATAATTTATTTAAAGTATTTGCAGTAACAAAAATTAAGGTCTAAATTACCTTAATACCTTCCAGTTTAAAGACTGAAATCATAAATTTGAAACTGCAGTATTTCAGTCTTACTACAAAGATTTGATTGAAAGTGAAAAGAAAAGGTAAATAAAGAAATTTAATAGGATGTGCAATTTTAATTGTATAGATTAAGGAATGAAATACATTGCAGCAGTATAATAAGTAAGGTTATCTCAGAGATAAACTTATGTAAAGCTTATCTATCCGTTTGAGGAAAAAGTATACTATAGCATGTATTAAAAAAAATGGTTTTGATATATTTTACACATTAACTTAAGCTGACTTTATATAAGACAAACTCCAGTAAAACTGAATCCCTATAGGAATGAACTATATAGAAACTGAAAATTTCATACTGCTTGAAATCCCACTGATAAGTTCCAAAATTTAGAACTTAAAATTTTGTCTACAACATTTCAGGATAGAAAAAAAATGAATGCAGAAGAGGCATAAATGAAGCAAAAAGTAAGCAAATTAAATATGGGATCTTTATTTTCTCAAAATTATGGTTAAGACTTAACCTTCAAAAGCAGCATTATCAGCCATGCTAAACACAGATTAATAAAATAGATCTTTTTTCTCAACTTTTTCCTTTTCATTTACAAAGTGTTACAAACAATTTTTTTCCTTTTCTTTTACAGGCACTAAATTCACCATTTTGCATTTTCATTCTATTACGGTTAGTAAAGGCAAATTGTTAGTAGTTTTTATTTAAAATAAAACTACATTAACATAATCACAAAATCATACAGGTCATTTACCAGCATTTATATTAAAAAAAAAAAAAAAAAAAAAATATTAACAGAATTGAAGAGACAAAACAAAAAAGTCCATAAAACTATGAATTCCCTATTTATTTCTGCATAGTAACTGATAAATATATAAAAATTAAATTTTTCAAATATAAAAATCAATTAATTAAATTAAAAAATTTTAAGACTTTGTTTTTAAAGTATAGTTTTCAAAAAATAAAAATAACAGAAAAATTTAACATGTCCGTCAAAGTTGTATTTATTGAAGGATAATATTTAAATACAAGAAATATTCCTCTAAGTACTTGAAGAAAATTAAGATCTAACAGAAAATGTAATTCAAATTAGAACCAATCTCATCAACCATGAAAAGGTAGTCATTGATGACAGAATCGCTTATTTTAATAAAATAATAATTTTTTAGAGATTGGGAAAGTTTTTTGTAATAAAATTTTTAACTAATAAAAATCAGGATATTTTTAACTTTTTCAATGAAATAAATCTACCCCCTATTTTTGATTCTATCATATACAGATTCACTGACATAAATTGCATGCCATGTGGCATGACAATAAATCATTATTAAATGAAATACCAAAAAGAAAAAGACAATTTTTTCAATTTATATTTCATAGAAACAATAAGCATCCCATAGCATATCAAGTGCTAAATTTTACAAGTTGTGTTTAGATAAAGTATTGGTTATATACAAATGTTTGTTGATACCATGTAACTGATTTCAACTTTTTATTCTAGTTAACTTATCGCTTGAAAAGAACTTTGCAAAATACAATATAAAGGTTAAATTTTGATAAAATTTATATTTTCCTTGTTTTATTTTTATTATAGATATTGGTCCTTTGCTCAGACGCTGCAGTACTAAGAACTTTATTCCTGCTACTATAAAAAAATTTCTCTCACTGTTTCGAGTTTAAATTTAGGGGAAAGTACAGTAGATGGATGAGATAAGGAAACAAAAATCATAACAAAATAGTGATTAAATAATGGAGAAATAAATCCCAAACAGAAAATTAGTCAAAAGGAGGACAGACTGCCTTTTCCTCTTGACATTTATACCCCTTCTCCAAATGAAAAGCAAGTAACTGGCACATTAATAACTACGTTGAGTAATAAATAAATACAATGCTTGTTTAACTGAACATTTTTGAAATAAAAGAAGATCTAATATTCTGCAAGAAAATTAAACAAGCAGCTTATACTGAAAGGTGCCAGAGCGAAGAGAACCATAGCAATCAATAAACTTTACTAAAGATTCCAGTTAGAAAACATATTTGAACATGACATATTTTACATGAAGACTCTTTATTATATTACCTTTTATTATATTGAAGGGAAAAAAAAAGAGCGAACTCACGTTTCCATGAGAGAAATTAAAGTTATCAAAATTAATTTCTTTGAATCCCTTAAAAAATATATATATATACCATTTTTGAGGTGTTACTTCTATATGTGATTAAAAATAATTTTTTATAAAAGAAATCAAGCAACTAAACACAATAAAATATAACAAGACAAGAGAAAGAACATGCAAATATTAAATTATAGATATGATAAATAAGGCATTTGCATCATTTAGCTTTTCTACTGCACGTGCATTATTTTTATACAGTCACTACATAAAGAACATCTGCAATAAATGTCTCCAATTATATTATTATCTAATAAATTGATATAAAAAAATGTAATTTATAATTATTAGTTTTGTAAGTCCATAGAAACATTTTCTACAATAAATTATTTCATATTCCCTATTTAAGACTTTTTTTTTCAAATGTTAGTTGTATGGTATTATTTGTTACTTATTTAGTTTTCCACAGGCAGCATCACCATATCATTAAACTGAATGTTCATATATTATTATATAGCAATTTATTCATTAAAAACAGTGATATTCCACAAGAACATTTCAAATAAACACATTAGAAAACAGTAAAATGTGTGTAAATAATTCTGTAACAGTTGCTTTAAATAGAAATATAAAAACAAGATTTAAAACATACATATCTGCAATTTAATTTCTTTTTCAAAAATAAACAACTACTATTTTAAAACCTAGATTATAAATGGGCATGTCTGATTTCTTTTTAAGATATATTTTAAGCATAGTCTTTTGCAGTAATGCCAGTTACAAAAGTTGTTGGATGAAAATTTAAAAAATATATATATATTTTCAAGATTACAATGGAAGAAATATCAAATTCACTCACACAGTTCATGGAAAATTTATGTACAAGAAAACTGCACATTTAATGCAATCCAAAACTTATGAAGCTACTATACATAATTCTTTAGCTTATTAATGTACAAAATTTCAACAGTGATAAAAAATAGTTTCATAGAAAAGTTTGTGTCCCTTCAAGACATTAAGACATTTATATTTAACTGCATAAAAACCATTTCAATTGATACCTAATTATGGCTAATCATTAATTTTTAAAAATGACACAAAATTGCATAGAGCTCAAATTCATAGCCAAAAATAACATTCAATTCAGCCAATAATTATGTGAAATTTTCATGAAAAATTAATTAAGCAAAAATGCTCAGCTATAACCTATAAGCAATAACGGTTTTAAAAGTCTAGCTATAATGGGAAAAAAAAATTACACACACCCAAATTAACAATAAAATTAAAAAAAGATTTAACTTACCTTCATCCCAATGAATGACTAGTAAATTTTTTATTGTTAACTATTATCATTTAATGAAAGTAAAACAATGCATAGATATTCATATATAAAGATATTTCAGTGATAAATTGTCATAATATAGAATATAAAAAATTTAAATTCTTAGTTATTAAATATACCTCTAGCAGACAAATACATAAAATGCACTATTTAATCAAACAAACAAACAATAAAAGAAAAACTCTCTCACCATAATAATCCAATGGATGAGCTACATTAAAAATGAAAGAGAAAAAAATTAATTTTTATTCCAGATTTTGATAATATAAAGCTTAATCATTCACTTAATAAACAAGTATTAAATGTTAAAAAGATTTAGATAATATACACTTTTTAAATTATAATATACCATATCAATGAAAATATGAAATATATATAAAAAAAAGGCAGCTGTTTTTTTCATTTTTTCTCCCCCTTTCCTCCAAACAAAATATTTCATTCAACTATGCAGGTGAGATAGATTTAAAATAGTTATAAATTATTTGATAGTAGTATTATTGTAGCGATTTTATAAAACAGTATTTTCTTTTACCAACCATTTGTTTAAATCTGTAGTTAACACAATTGTTTTCTGAATAAAACTTAAGCATTATTTTAAAACTGAGGTTTTAGATATGCTCAGGAATAAGAGCAAATCATCAAGAAATCATCAAATAGGATCATTCCTATTATAGAACAACAAGTAGCTACAACAAATTTTCTAAACATAAGAAGAATAACTTTCTCAAGTTACTTATTACAATAAAGTAATAACTAAAACGAATGACATCTTTTGAACTTTTCATTGACAACACAAATTTTAAAAAACGTGAACACTATAATCAGAAATAAGAAAAACATATCTTATTAAGAGAGGCCAATAAGAACAATGTCAACCAAGATCTATTCAAGTGGGTTTTTTTATTTTTATTTGGCTTTTCTACACTGATCCACACAAATAAAAAATATCACTTGTACTAGAGTATATCAGAAATATTCAGCTGACACATAATTAAAAAAAAAAAAAAAAAAAAAAAAAAAAATACTCGCCCTCCATGCAAACATTACTTAAAAAAATTCTCATAAAACGAAATACATTCAAGACTTCAGACCAAATTTTTTTAATTTATTATTTTTATATACAATTTTACCAATTTTTAATATATATACACATAAATTTTTAATGGTCTCTGAATTAAAAAGGCATTATGCATGAACTAGACACAATTTTTTAATCCCTCAAGAAAAAAGCATTTGATCTTGTACAATTGACACTTCAAATCAGGGAGGGGGGAATGTTTAAATATGACAGATATGCTAAATGGCATAGTTTTATAACATTACTCACTGATCACAAATGAAAACAAACTTCTGTCAGGTCAAAATACCATGATTAAAAAAGGAAATCACAAAAAAGAGGCATAACATGAAAACAAAATTATTTATAGCTTCTAAAAGTGTTTACAAAAACATATTTGTTCTCTCTAATGCCATTATTATCAAAAACCGAAGAAGAAAAAACTATGTACAATATATGCTTGAGCACCTGGAACATATGAACTATATGAAAGCAAAAGATTTTACCCAATCATTAAGTCCTGCTGACTATGAAAGCTAGCATAAATGCCATCAAACTTTCACCAGTCATTTTAGCAGATGTTTAAAGGAACAGAACAGAATTTTATTCATATACTTATTTAATAAAGGAACAGAATTTTATTCATATACTTATTTACTTATTGGATTGGTGGTCTAGAGGTCTGAATTAGATCTTGTTTTCCTGTTGCCAGTATATGATCGGCCATGAGCTGAAGCACAGTAATGTTACTCCTCCTTCGGGACCGAAAGAGCTAATTTTAATCCCGCAGATGTTGTAACTCTAGTTCTGTCTGGAACATGTCTTCTAGACACAGAATCCTCGAATTCAAACTGATTCCGTAGTCGTAGTCGGTGTACCACACTACGAGAGACATTGAGCAGCTTCAGCTTGTGACATCCCCATTTCCATTCATCCGGCCTGCCACCTCAACGAATCGGGCTTTTAGATATTGTCCACGAAACTGTAATAACAACTGAAAATCAGCACTCGTGAACAAAAATTACAATTCTTGCATTTTCTCTCCGACTCCTATATAAATATTCATTTCTATAAAATAAAAGTGGTAGCTATTGATTTTGTAAATTTTTTCTTAAACTTCATTACTGTCATGCATATGATTTGTGATTTTAAATGATACTGACATTTTTGTACTGGTGACCTTTGAAAAACATGCTGTACCTTAACTTTTGGAGCGTATGTCTGCTTATAATGTATGTTATGTGCGTCTAGAATATGTTTAAGTAGCACGAGTAAAAGAAAGAGCCCTAGAGAACTCATAAAACTGCATTAATTTCTCATTTCACATATCGCGTTTTGATTTGCAAGCAGCTCTGCCCACATTACGTCGAGAAATTTTATCATTTTATTTAAGTCAAACTCGTCCCTCTAAAACTTCACAGTTTGTAACTTGGAAACAAAAATGGTCTTGTTTCTGTCTGCTGCTATCTATTTTTCGCGTTTACAGTACTTCCTTTACTTCGTACAAGGAAATAAAAATTAAAAAAGACAGCAGTAACACAATTTGATAAAATTTATTGCTGAAAGCCTTTTAGTAATGCTTACTCTATTGTGCGTAGATAGCGAACGTAGTTTAGCTTGGTAAGAAATAAGATGTGTTTATTTATTTATTCTTTTAAAGAAAATATGAACAGTTAGTTCAACGACGACATTTTGCGAGGAATCATTCTTAGCGTAGTGGAATATATCAGTTGCCAATTATCAGAAACTAATACATTATTTCTTGTTGCCAGATCTAACAGATTAACATAGTAAATGCTCAATAACGAAGATGCGACGGGAAGTTGCTCCGTCATTTTTTCAACACACAGGTTCCCCTGTTTACAGCAGCAGAGCTCGGGGTCAGTACTTGGGTGGGTGACCACCCACGTGACTGGCCTCGACGTATCATCTTTCTTCAACTAGTGAAGATACATCACAGCTTGTACGGCGGCCAGATGCTTAAACCCTCCTTCTCCAAAGTCTTACTTGACCGAACTCACGTGCATTAGCACATGTTCCTGCTTCACCTTTGTCGGTGCGGTGTAAATCACCTTAATTTTTAATTCTTCCCAACGCCTTAGGGCATATCTTCCAACAGAGACGGTTAAAGTAGCAGAGGGTACTAAATGCCGCCTAAACATTCACTCGATTTCGATTTCGATTATGCTCCGTCAGCCAAACGATAAATTTACAAGTTCGGAACATGTATAATCCACCAATTAATTGTGTACCATTTTTTAATGGCGTTATCTACTCGACAACCCACAAGCAACTACTCGTAGACTTCAAGAGTTTGAAGAAGGAAACAAATTCTTTCGCTTTATTAAACTATAAAGAATATTTATTTTTTAAAATCTTTTCTATCCTTTTCTTTCAGCTGACATCCATTCAGAAGCTACATCTTTTGCGGAGTGGTGAAGATGGCTTAAATAAAGGGAGTTCGTTATAACAGGGCTTGCTTTGTTTGGTTTTCGTAGTTTCCCTCATGTGTAACGTGAATACGATCTTTCCGTCCGAAAGTTCTTCACGAAGACATCTATCTCTTTAGACTAATAGCTTTTGTGTTCTTTGCTATATTCTAGTAACCATAACATCAGTTTCAGAAGGTATTTATGAGCAAAAATTTTCCTTTCTATAAATTCGCCATTTAGTGGTAAACTAGAGAATGATCAGACTTTTCTCGAGTCCTGCGCATCATGTCAGTGACGTAGCCAGAGCATTTTACGCCTCTCTTAATGTATACTAAAAAAAATCTACGAAATGTTCAAATGACATACAGAGAAATAAATAGAAACTGCATTTATTTTTTAAATAAAACTTTGGTTCTAATATCCTAAAATAATGTTTTGTTTGTTTTTCTGTTAACAAAATCAATAATGGCATTGTAGAATTCGTTTCATTATTCTGGTTACTCTAACGTAGCTACTACAATAAGATTTCTTAAATGAATGACAATCATTTTTGGATCATAAGTGCTACTTAATTGATCTATATTTCGAAAAATCCTTCTCACAATAAATAATATTTACAGTTGTTGTAAGGAAAATTTGTAGTATTACAATATTTGGAATTACATTCTGGAAACTTGGTTTTAGAATAAATTAGAAAAGTTCAAAGTGACGGTCCTTCCATATCTCCATATTGTTTCCTCAAAAAGTAGCGGAAACAAATCTGGTATTTATTTATTATCTTATCGACCGTGAAATTCTAGCCAAGCAGCGAGATTTAGCGCAAGTTATGGATAAGCATGACATGTTAGATATAACCTCGACTGATTCTTGATACACCACATTTTAGCTTTGAGAACAAGGATATAAATTAACTGTTATTACTATACTTTTTTTTTTCTTCCATTCTTGGGAAAAAAAAAGATTAAAATTTGGAACCCGCCCTCTGCAAAACAGCAAGCTGTGGACTATTTTCAAAGTTATGGGATCGTACCATCTACCAAAAAAAAAAAAAAAAAATGTTTATTAATGGATACGGTATGGTCAGCTGAATATGAAAGACAAAATAGTAATAAACTGGAACGATTCTCTGCGGGAATTTTGCACTCATAGCGTTCTAAACAAAGCTTTAGGTGAAATCGGCACCACTGCAAAGTAGTTGAAATCGGCGAAAACCTTTTCCTGAAGCCAAAACTGAAGTGAATCGGATGCTGATTGTTTATTAAATAAAAAAGCATTAGTTTATTTAAGAATTCCACAGGAACGATTCGCGCAATCTTGGCGGGATTTTTGCAAACTTTCATGTTTTCATAAGCCAACCTTCACAGTAGACGAGGCAAAACATACGAGTAAGTACCATAAATCTCTGAAATATTTCTCTCTCGGTGAGGAAGTCTTCCTTATTAAGATCGTTGGGATCACAATTTAATTGATATTCTTATTTTCCATTCAAAAGTTTCAATGGAATTAAAAGAAATATATATATTAATAAGAACTTGAAGTTTTTGAAATCTCGTCCGGTGTAAAATCTTTTTTTCTAAATTAAATTGAGTAGCACAATATAACATCTCATAATTCTTCACCTCTCCCAGCGACTGAGCGAATAAGATGATTGAATACTGGTATTTCGACGTGCAGTCAAGTTCCAAAGAATGCGCTGATTGTATGGCCATTTTCGTGGTTTATC